GAACGTTTACGTTTCCGCTGCATCCGTAGTTTTTTCTTCGTTCTTAATCAATATCAAGGCTGGTAGCGAAACTTACACTTAAACCTGTTCTTTTACTTATCAGTCAATAATTAAATATGAGTACATACTTACTATTCTGTGCATAATGTACACAATGATATATCAAACAAGTAATTATGTTGGAGTCGGACGGTACCGACTGTATAATACTTATTCACGATCCGCAAAACTTTAGAAGATATGGTTTTCCATATGTTTGGTAAATTATAAGGGGATGTCAATAGGAACTTAAAATTGTAGAGTGCACAAAACCAATATACTCCCTAGTCTCAAAGTTAATAAGAAATTTTTTTTCGGGAACGCCCGACTAGGAGATACCCTGAACCTCGAATGATCTGAGTTTTTAAACTGCATACATTGTATCTATGAATACATACGCAGTTACATGTGTACTTGCACACATATAGAAATATTTATCCTTGAGCTTACAAAAGTGTACGCTTTTAAAATTTTTGTTAAAAAAATCACAATCAAATAGAATGTCTTTTACTAAAAAATTTGTTTGGTAAACTTGTGTCACACGCATTGCTCTACCACCACAAAAAATGAACCTGGAAGTGCACGGCAAGGATGTCAACTCAAAATTTGAAAATTACGGGTGGCTCCAAAATCTGCGTGTTTTTCCGTAGCACGATTTTGCTTAATTACGTAGATCTACGTACATTTTAAAAACCATAAAAAAATGAATAAAACAATAAATTTGTAAATTAACGGTCTTTGTACTTCATTGTTATTTCTGTTGACGTTTTAAAAAGAAAATTACATTGTTCAAATTACAAAATTGTATATATATTTTTATTACAGTACTTAAGGTGGTTTTCAGAAGGCTCTAAGTTTTCCTTTAACCCACTTTTTGTGTGAAGTAAACCTTTCTAACCGTTTCTAACTTATTTCCATTATTCATTTTAATTAAATTTATTTCAAAAAAATAATCGATCAACATTAGCACTGCTATGTGGCAAAATAAGAAAATTTTGAGTAAGCGCCTTCAAAATCGGAAACATCTGGTTTAAATTTCCCTTTATAACATTTGAAATATAACGCCAAAAATCGTCTGGCGGTACCCCTTCCTCATAGTTTAGTTAGTCTTTACGGTATTTTGCAATTTTTTTATAAAGTACGCAGTTCTAATTTCTTTACACGTAGACACGTACATCCCCTTTAAAATACGGAGATCTACGTAAAAAGACGGAGTGTAGGCATCCCTGGTGCACGGCCGAACGGCTTTGTGAAATTCTATGTATCACGTAGACCCCATAAACCCCATAGCTATCCATGATCACTCCGGATAACTGAGTCAATTTAGTCTTGTCTGTTCGTTCGTCCTACTGCCCGTATGTATAAATAAACGTATAAATGGTTAATTACAATCAACAGCCAAGTTTATTTAGCCCTATCCGTCCGTATATCAGGTGATTTAAATGCGATTCTGTGTTCAACGCTTTGGATTTGTTAAAATGTAGGTAACAGGCGTGGCAAACCCAATAAAGTATATATATTCTTCAGGACGACAACTGGAGCCAATCTCATATCTATAAGAGCTGAAAACTTGCAATTGTTTTTGTATGTCCGTGAATAGCATGCGCATATCAAGTTGGTTTCAATGAATCGATAACGGTTTATGTGAAAGAGTTTGCACTTTTAATAAACTAACAATTATTCCAATGTAGATCATATGCTGAAAATTTAATTAAAATCCGTTACGTAATATAACCAACGCCAAGCGCACACATTTTCCTATACATTTTCGTAAATTCTTCTCTATTCGAGGAATCCAAAAATGCGATTGAATTGTTTTTAAATTATCAGCGACTTCTCTAATTGAAATTTGCTTTTTACTTTCTTGACCGAGCAGTGCCGTGGCAGTGTTGGCAGAGGCGACGCTCGTTGCTCAGATCTGGGTTCCAGTCCACGCAACGTTTGATTTTCTTTGTTTATTTTTTGAATATGAAATGAAGGTTCGAGTCCTGTTCTCGTAATGTTGGTTTAACTTTATTTTTAATTCTATGGAAAATATTTAAGAACATAGGATATCTCCTAGTTGGGCACTCCAACTACAGCGTTTTTACTTGTTTTTATTTTTATTTTCCCACCATTAAGTGTCCTTATATCAGCATTTCTTATTTTTTATGCGAGATATAAGCTATGGGACGGGATATAAGCTAATTGGACACCCCCGACTAGAGCTTTTTTGTTTTTTTATTTTATACTCATTTTATTTGAGTCGGAAGTTTCAAGTTCGAATGACGCTGGTGCATGTTTCTTTGTAGTCAGTCGACCGAGCTGTGTTTTGCAGTTTACATATGTATGTTTAAATACCTCAAATTGCTGCAATATGTTTTGCGTTCACAGACATTACACAAATAATGTCTTTTTACTTCGTGAACGATTCTAATATTAATAAATATAATTTGATTTTATTACTGCATATTATTTGTATTAAAAAAAAACTGGAATAAATTACCATAAACTCAGCCTGTTTTAACCTATCATGGTTATTGAATATAAGACTATATACTTGAAATTTCAAGTCGTTGGCATATTAGAAATCGACATTTCATAGGGTTGCTGACGGACGGATATAGCTATATCGACTGGTAAGTTTGATCAAAAATTGAATATACGTATATATTTCTGGAAGATATCTATTTGAGACCTTCGACTTGCATATTGGCTGTAAGTAATTACTCTCTTTAGAACCTATGTTAATTCTATATTAAGTAATTTAGGTTATCCTAAAAACTATTCAATACCTCTGTATATTTGGCAATATTCGGTTAAAGTAGCTCTAACTAATAGTCTTGGTGGTATAAAATTTAAAAACGTTTAATACAAAATTATGAGCACCTTCTACTTATAAGTAAAAAATATTATAAATTTTAATGCTTAAAGCTTTTAATGTATATATACCAATTATATATGTACATAAGGTTTTATGATACATATTTATGTAAGGAGAAAATATAATTTTAATGCTTAAAGCTTTTAATGTATATATACCAATTATATATGTACATAAGTTTTTATGATACATATTTATGTAAGGAGAATTTTCACCAATTTCTTGTAAATGTTTTTAAAAAAGTAATCCAGTTCATAACTCATAATTCAAAGGTAGCGAAAAATCGTTTAAATAACAATTTTTTTAAATGTTATAATGTTTATTAACTAAAATATTAAAGGCTCATAGAGATAATTAAAAAAACAGACAATTAAATGTTCTGTTTTGTCTTAATATTAGCAAAATTTATTAAAAGATGATAAATAAAATATTATTTTTATTTTATTAATCATTATAGGATTCATTTTTATTATAAATTGTATTCCACAAATATTTTTCTAGCGTTAAAGTAGACAGAGTTTTTGAAATCTATGTAAAATGTATATATGTAGATATATATTATATTTATTTTACACAAACGTTCCATATTAATATATGAACTTTTTTATTATCATTAAGAGTTACAAAGTTCAGATTACACCAATAGAGGATGGTGTTCAGAAACTGAAATATCAAATTTGATGGTTTTAGTTCGATATCTAAATTAATATATTTTTTCAAATTTTCAGATGTACTTTTTATTGAAGGACGCATACTAAAATATTCAAGTCTCTCTAGCTTTTAAAGTTTCATTATTCTGAGAAACATTTTTATTTTCATTTTGAGGAAATAGTTGCTGAGGAATAGTTGTTACAAAATATTCAAATGTATTTAATTATATAACAATACATTTAAAACATTGTAAAAATTGTTGATTGCTGCTTTAGGATATAAACTAATTTGAATTTAAATTAAAGTTCATAAATATCAAAGAACAGCTCCCATTTTGAAAATCCAAGAAGAAAATAAATAATAGTGATCTAGTCCGACGTTCCCAACTGAAAGATATCCAGAATCCCATGATATTTCGATCATTAGCTTTCAGTATACATATATCCTCAAAAAAAATAAACAAACAAGCTCCTGCAGTGTGTGTATGTACTAATGCCCAATACTAATATTTAAAATTAGTTTTTGAATTTTGGATGGAATGCGAAAACCAAGTCGAAAGTTAGCAAATATAATGATATATGAAATTAATATGATAAGCTTCTATTGCATATAATGAATATACAATATATATATATATATATATATATATAATTTGTAAATTCATTGTATACAGTTTTTGATGAAGATCGAAGATCACCAGACCAATATACTGAATATGCAAATTATGCTGATAGCAAACTGTCCGTTACCTACAACATACATTTACACTAAGAAAATATACTCTAAAATCCCAATATCACTGCTGACCTTTTGTGCTTTACAGCGATCGACTTAAGATCACCATTTCGAAGACAGACTACTTTTTCATGGATATGGATTCAAAGATTGCTGGGACTAAATTGAAAAAATGGCTTTCGAACCATATAGGAGTATTATCAAATCGGGATGTGTCTGACTATCGTAGTATCAAATAAGCCACTAAATTAACATGTTCTTACAAATATCATAAAAAGAGGATTTTTTATTATAACTTTTACGATTATTTCTCTTGAACATTAGCCTTGTTTTTTATTAAATACTTATATTCGATTTGATATACTACTTAACCTGTCTACGTTTACATAAAGCATATAATAATATAATGTGATTTTTAATTTTTGGACATGATATTTATAATAATTTATGAAAATAATTCATCTAAATATCTAAGTCTGTCTATACAGTTATTAGTTCTATTTAAACTTGAATTTTCTAAAACAGAAAAGTAAATGAAATTATTTTGAATATATAATTACTCTTAAATTTTAATGAAGTTAAATTTTTTCTTCATTGATCTTATGATCCATTATTTGGAATAGGAGTTTATATTTTGTTTATAAACAGTTAGTAATTAATTAAATATGAAAGGAACTATTAGTATGTACATCAACAGTATGGTTGCACAGATTTTTCATAGTGTTGTAGACTTATTTTAAGTAATAACTTTCATATAGTTCGCATACCGGCGCTTATTCTATTTTGAGCTTCCGATCCTCGGTATGCCTGCGGTGGTGGTACTATTGCAAAATTGTTACAATAACTACTGTTAATATTTCCAATAGGTGCTGACATCATTAATAGCGGATGAGCCATAGCTAAGTCATAAGTCATAGTGGGAACTCCTGACGACTGGATGCTGCTAGAATTTAAACTAGATCCATTGACACCAGCGGCATAATGAAGGAAAGGTAAATGAGCAGAAGCTGTTATTGTATGCAGAGGAGGTAATGGGCGTTGACGTTGATCTTCAGTTCGAGTAGAGATAGTTATTGGCAGACATTCAGCGGATAATCTTCGTGGGTAATCAGTAACTTTGCTGTAAGAATTTTCGCATTCCACCACATCTATATCAGCGCGATCGTCGTCATCCTCCTCCTCCTCGGATATTTGTTCTGGCTTATCGGGGGTAATTAGGCTTTCTATTGTAAAAGACCGTTTCGGTCGATAGCTACTGATACCCTCCAGATCCAAATTTGTTGACGAACGTAAGTTTCGTAGTGTTCCTTCGGTTAAATTAGTGTTTTCGACAGCAGCTAATGAAATATTTCTACATTGCGGTAATGTAGTACTATGTCCATGTGGCAATGCGATGTGTTGTACCTTAGTTGATGATAAGCTAATTGTAGATTGTGACAATCCCGTAGTAGACTCCATATTCATAGTTGTGCTGCTTATATCCAACATCGGCATTTGGGTTATAGGGTTCCCGGATCGTGCGGTGAAGAAAAATCGATTGATATTCGCCAGAGCAGTCAATTCTTCATTGAGCAAATTCTTATCATTCTTATGTAACTTAAAACGTTTTCTTCGCCGCAACAAACTGCCGTTCTCAAACATATCAAACGCTTGTGGGTGTAGAGCCCAATAAGCGCCCTTTCCAGGTCTGTCTGGTAGTCGCGGAACTTTAATGAAGCAATCGTTGAAACTTAAATTGTGCCTAAGTGAGTTTTGCCAGCGTTGTGTATTTTTTCGATAGTATGGAAACCTGTCAGTTATAAATTTATATATATCGCTTAAAGGTAGCATTTTTTCTGGGGAGCTCCAAATAGCCATTGCTGTCAACGATATGTATGAATATGGAGGCTTCTGATCACCATAGGATTCGCGCGAAGGCCTTGGCATTATTTTAATACTGTGAATATTTCGTTATAATTCAAATAAACTAGTGCAATTCCGTATCAAATATGTTATTTCGATATTAGTAAATTTCATTTGATGATACACGCCATCTTTTAATTGAATTGCTTTTTCACCGGTTAACACAAAATATTTATATTGAATATACGGTGTACGGTCATAACATTATCTTAGCCGCGTAACGTATTTTTGTAAGTAAATAGTCCGACATAGCAATAGTTTAGCGACGGTAGATTAGGTATGTGACCTCGCGTTAATAATCGTCTCAAAAATACTACACTTCCGATAAGCTTCAGCAAAAGTAACAACACAGAATGTAAAAGCGCTCTCCAAGGTTTGACCGGTCTGGCGAATTACCATCTAAAGCTGAATACGAATACGTGAGCAGCAGTGGCAACTTTGCAGTGAGGTTGAAGCGAAGATAACAACAGACCCGAAGCAAAACAAACGAAGAACCCGACTCACATAAAACAAAATCACTCTTACAGCAGACTAACAGACGGCGTGTCGGTTATTGTACTAAGTGAGCAATGCAGTACAACCAACCACAGTGAGCAATGCAATCAAAATATAATCACTCACATCATTGCCCCCGTGCTCTCTCCCAATCACCGCCATGCCAATGTATCATCCCTCTGAAACGGCAAAACTTCAAAGAGAGAGCCGAGAAAAGAGTCAGAGATTTACTAAACGAACCAAACCAGTTTGGTCAGACCACACTACGCCAATACTATGGCAAACAAGACGATATATAGTAGTGGGGAGTGTCTACAGAAATGGCTTAGCGACTACAATAAACGACTACACACAAAAAAGACCAGCCGCCCGGCAGCTGACGACCCAATATGAGCGCGAGGTGTTGAAAAAGAAAATTACATCCACTTTAGCGATTTACTGATTTTACGTTTTCATAATCTTGTTAGTTAATTTGGCTGGTTTGCATGGATTATCCTTAGTTTTGGCGCTCTTCCAGTGTACTTAAGCAATATATTCTACGCTTTTTAAAACATTTATATATTTCCATGTATGCACTTATGGATTTCTGTTTGTATATATGTATGTATGTATAAAAACAACATATTTCGTTAAAATGTACATATTTGCAAAACCTGTTTTGTTTATTAGTAATTCCGTGTTGTATATATATATATATATATATGTATATGTATATATATATATATATATACTAATTATATTGTAACATATTAATATTATATTAATTTTAATATATGTAAAATATTCATCGTTATGTATATATATATCTTTGTTTTTACTTATAAATACAAACAAATTCAATTTCTTGTTAATTTGAGTGTTAGTAGAGATAACAAGGTACTCATCATCCAAAAAAAAAACAAAAACAAAAAAAAACATGACTACTGACCCAAGAGTCAAAGAGTATAACAAAAGTGAGAGAGCGATTGTTGTTAGTCTATACATGCTCTCAGGCCGAGAGTGAAAGAAATAGACAGAGAAAGAGATACTTAGAGAACGAGACAAATAATATGGTTTTGCACGACCAACACATAGTGCTTTTTATATAAATTGAAAGGAGATAGCAATATGTTGCTCAACATTGTGGCATTTGCTTGCTTGCTTCCTATTTGCTCAAAATAAATGCCTTCCTTCATTGGTCCGTATTTATTTTATTGGTGGGACGACATACATTAAATTTATAACAAAAAAAATATACTATTTTATTTTTAAAAAATATTAATTAAATGTGAAAAAATAATGTTTAATGTAATTAATATATTATTAAAGTAGTAAGGGAATATATTTAAATAAATTAATGAAAAAATAAACTAATTATATATGTTACTACCAAATATTATTTACTTTTTATATCAAATTATAATGGTTACAATAATTTAACTTATCTATAAAATATTTAATTAAGATGGAGCTTATTATTTTTTGCCTTTTTTTATGTTTCCTTATTTTTGTAAAATCATCTTCATGTAATTTTTCTAAAATATAATTAATCTAAAAATCATCTTATTTCGAATTTCAACCATCTGGACTCCTGAGTATGTGATGCATAAAAATATGTGTGTATGTATGTAGTTATAGAAAGATTATTGTTAGTAATTGCCTATATCTGTACAATTTTTTATAGTGCTTTACCTAATGCCAAATATTTAGTTTAATTTTTTATTATTTATTATTTTTTTTTTTTAACTAAATGTTTTGAGTATGCCATCTACATATTTAGGTGCCAAATATTTACTATTAAGATAATAGAATAAATTATATTTTATTAAAATATATATTGCAGAAATATTAGCTTCGGCTTGGTAGTATAAATTAGCTTCGCTAGTTTTTAGACAAGAATACAGTATCACGTTAATCAGCCACAAAATTTCGAATTACAAAAAATTGATTAAAAGAATTTTGGTTAAAACTTAAATTGGGAGACAAACCGCAAACAGCATAAATGCTGTATAAATAGATACATATGAACAATGGCTAAGGTAATCTAAATTATGAATAACCAGAGCTTTATGTAAAACTGATATCTACAATACTATTTCGTTAAGCATGATAACGGCGAAAATAGTGTCCCATTTAATGGGATACATCAAGAGTACTGAGTGATTGATTAAATTTTGAACCTATAAGAGTAGAATAATTGATAACTTTTTCGTTTTATATAATTAATATAAAATGTAACTTAAGTCTGGCCATCGTTTTAAGACCTACAATCAAGAATGGTAAAATATACACAAAAGTTGACTCAATTAAATGATAATTCCCAATTTTGTAAAAATCTAAAAAATTAAAGAGTTATAAACTCGTAATGTGACAGAACAGCGCGGTTTACAATATTCGCCTAGTCGGAAACTTAATTAAAATATTTGAGCAATAATGAAAAGGAATATAAACCTATGGTAAACCTTTACCTATGGTTTGCGGTCAAGAAACAGTGAAATTTTAAAATATATTTCGGGGCGTATGTATTTTTTGATTTTCTAAATCTTTGTTGTTGCAAAGCATAATGAAGAATTAAACCATTTAAAAGGTTTTTCACATCATAAAAAATAAGCACATCAAGAAATTCTTGTATATTCTTTTATATATTCAATATTTCAGTGTATGTACATTTTATTTGACGTGATGTTTCTAATTTGTACATAGCTACGGAAGGCACCATTACAAACGCTTAACAGAAAATTCATTTTTGTATAAAATAAAGTTTAAAAAAACATTTTCATTGACAATGAGATATGCTTCATTAATGGAATTATATATTTTATGGTAATATGATGTAATCACATCCACAATCACAACAAATTTCACGGTAAGCAGTTTTAACACAACATGAGATATTTCTTAACTGAGGGTTGGGCATTTCTGTTTAAGCTAGGCGGTCATAAATCTCTTTCGTATTTACCGCCTTATTGTTACACTTACTATGAATACCCACCCAGTCGTTTTGACATTTGCTTGTAATAATCAGGATTTCCGATACTGTGTGAGCATACAGACGAAAAATAAACGCTTTAATGTTATTTGGTTCGGTACACGGTTTACAGTTGTTACAATTATCTATTGTTTGCAATTCAGGAGCGAAACCCAAATTAACCCCGCAAATATAAACACAAATTCAACCTCCATCGGAAGTAAAACAGAAAACCGTTAAATTATATATATATATATATATATATATATATATAACACTTTTATTCCTAATTAATTTTACTACATTGATATAACAGAATTATTCTAAATTGTTTCTGTTATTATATTTAAACATTAACTCTTATCTTAATGTTAATCATATTCATTAGAAAGTATTAAAAGTGATCCTTGTTACTAAGTGCGCAATTAGTACAACCATAAACAACAGTGCTTGTAATGCGAAGCAAAGAAGTAAGAAATCTCTAGACGGGAGTGCCAGACTAAGACATAACCTGAACCCCGGCCGTTCCTCCTTTTTCAAAGATATTACATAACTTGCATCTATGCATTCATATACAAAATACACTTCTGCATTTATAGATGTCAACACTTAGTTATAAAAAACGGTAAGCTTATGAAAATAGTAGAGAATAAAAATGTTTCATCGCATCTGCATAATCAGGTCAGTAGGCTTGCGCTGAAAAACAATAAAATAAAAGTAATTTTGATTTTAATTAAATTTTCGGCGTATAGTCTACATTCTCTATTGAATTGTTAAATTTGGAGCTGCTGACTAAACAAAAAATGTCAAGGCAGTTACAGGCTCTTCGATGGATGCATTCATACATACATACAGATTAGATTCAAGATCGACTCAGCTTGTCGTCTTGATCAGGAATATATATACTATAGCTGGTATATAAGAAATTAAAGTGCTAGAAACTTGAAATTTGCAACATGTCCAAGATTAAAAAGGTGGGATATCAGGTAAAACTGCATCTTCCTCAGTGGTAAGAGCCTCTAGAGATAGTCTAAAAAATGATATGTTTTATACAAATTTTGGTTTATCTTAAACTCTATTAGTATTAGGGACTTTAAATTTGTAATACATAGATACTTGTTAGTAAAAAATAGATAAAAATAGAAAAAAAGCTAATAGGTGGCTTGGCGAGCCGCACTTCAAACTCAGTCTTCTAACGTTCACGAGCTAGAAACGATTTCTGACTTAACAAAGAAAATACCCTCTAATTTCCACATTTTTTGAGCCTAAGCTGCACAATTTGACAGTTACGTTACGTAAGCTCCCTTCAAGGTTTGAAGCGTGCCAATAAGGGCGTGGTAAGTTGGAAAAAGCCATAGGTTTCGTTAGGCTTGGAAGTTTCAAGTCTCTTTTGACATTCTTATTTGTTTGCTTTGTTTTACTTTCTCCATAAAAAGTTAAAAGATATTATTCTTTGTATTTAATGCGTAATTATTTACATTTGGTACCTTTTTGAATGCTTACCCAAATAAACTGTGACGGTGACCTGCTGCTCCACCACCTGTCGCAGTTTGGGAAAACAATATCTTTCGATAATATAACTAACCCATAAATTTCAAGAGGAAACTGTTGTATTTG